GAAGAGTTGACTCATTGGGAAAGACCCTGATGCTGGGAGGGATTGGGGGCAGGAGGAGAAGGGGACGACAGAGGATGAGATGGTTGGATGGCATCAGTGACTTGATGGACATGAGTTTGAGTAAACTCCGGGATTTGGTGATGGTCAGGGAGTCCTGGCGTGCTGCGATTCATGGGGTCACAAGGAGTTGGATACAGCTGAGCGACTGAGCTGAACTGACTGATCATAACTTTTGATAGAATTAGGAGAACATTTATTTGAGGTATAACATAAACCATAAAATAAACTGATAGATATAAAATTCAGTGATTTTTAGCAAATCTTTAGGGTTCTGCAGCCATTACCATATCTTTGATTTGTCCAGCCATAAACACAATTCCAGCACTGGAATAATTTGTTTCACCAGACAGTTTGACATTTTACAGTCAGTCCCCATGTCCAACCCTAGTCCCAGGCAACCACTGATCTGCTTTCTGTCTTTATAGATTTGCCTTTTCTGGGAAATTTATGTATTGATATATATATAAAACCGGGCTTATTTAACTGAGTGTAAATGTTTAAGGTTCAAACGTGTTGAAGCATATGTTTTTTCTGTCAGTTCAGTTCAGTCAGTCAGTCAGTTCAGTTGAGTTGCTCAGTCGTGTCCGACTTTTTGCGACCCCATGAACCGCAGCATGCCAGGCCTCCCTGTCCATCACCAACTCCCGGAGTCTACCCAAACTCATGTCCATCAAGTCGGTGATACATCTAGCCATCTCATCCTCTGTCATCCCCTTCTCCTCCTGCCCTCAATCCTTCCCAGCATTAGGGTCTTTTCCAGTGAGTCAACTCTTTGCATAAGGTGGCCAAAGTAGTGGAGTTTCAGCTTCAACATCAGTCCTTCCAATGAACACCCAGGACTGATCTCCTTTAGGATGGACTGGTTAGATCACCTTGCAGTCCAAGGGACTCTCAAGAGTCTTCTCCAACACCACAGTTCAAAAGCATAAATTCTTCAGCGCTCAGCTTTCTTCACCGTCCAACTCTCACATCCATATCAAGCAGGTCTAAACTTGAACTCATTTCCAGTCTTCCCCAAAACTCCTTCTCCTAAGTTAATCCTCGGTTAACCTGTACTCCCCATTACCCAGGCAAGAAATTTCAGTGTTACTTCCTCCCTCTCCAGAATCTTTTGATTCTGTCTTCTGAATATCTCTTAAATTAGTATCTGCTACACTGTTGCTTCGTTTATGCCCTTTCATAACCTCCAGCGGGTCTCCCTGCCTCCAGACTATCTTCATTCTTAGTCATTCTTTGAAAAAATGCCAGTTGTCTAGTTGAAAATTGTGCATGTTTGGGAATACTTGCTTTAAAGCATTTTTTTTTCCCTGTGAAAAGAAGTTGGAGAGTACAGGCCCATTTAAGGGACATTCTCTCTCAACACAATTCTGATCAATTTTAACAGAATTTTTTTTTTTTAGCATTGAGTAATCAGGGAAGACATTATCTGATAAGGCTGCAAAATGAGATGACTGATGACTACACTTGATAATTTGCATGATATTTATAGCTCTGAAATTATACAATTCTAGGTTTTATATTAAAGTTTTCTTTGATGAACTATGACTGTCTATTGGGAGTGGTGAAAATTACAACTAATTCTTTTAAGTCGAAGTACATATTTTCAATTATGAAGTAAAAATTAAAATGACCAGTGGTGGGGAGGGTATTATCTAGTTGATAGTATGATTTTCCCTCCCAAAATTTGGACTGATATTTGAGAGAAGGGTAAGAAATGTAAGCACGTTAGCAGACTGATGACTGACTGATAGATATCCTATAATAATGGAAAATATAAGGAGGGTTATGTTTATCTTCTCACAGATTTAAACAGAGAAAACCTTTTTTCTAATCCCTTTCGTTTTTCGACCAAAATGAAATGTTCAACTACTCAAAGCTATCAAACTGCTGCCTCTTGGTGACTGTATTTGTCAGACACTTGCGTAAAAGTTGCCTTATCAGTAGTATGGTGATTTGTGTTTAAAGCTCTCCACAGCCCTCATCTAGTTTTTACGGACACATTCATAGAGATGTTGGTTTTCAGAGGATCTGTGTGAGAGCAAAACAGGCTTCATAAGTGATAATGATTGCTAATGATTTCATATAACTGTGGCTGATGGTGACGACTGGGGAGACATACTTCAGATGGCCTTGATAGTGACATACTTACTATTTCCTTTAGGGTGGCAGAACTTCCCTTCGGGTTGGTGGGTAGAAAGTTATGCCTCTGATTTCTGGTGTCTCCTTCCCAAATAGACTTTAGAAAGAAAAGAAAATCCTATAAAGGAGAATATTTGCATGCACACAGACCCACACACAACCTAATTATTTTACCTTACGGGTTCTTCAAGCAACTATTTTAAAGTTTCTTGAAATTACTGAAAGTAATAAAGGACTGTTTCCTTTTCCAGCTCAGAAGATAAAATAACAGTCCACTTTATAAACCGTGATGGTGAAACATTAACAACCAAAGGAAAAGTTGGTGACTCTCTGCTAGATGTTGTGGTTGAAAATAATCTAGATATTGATGGTTTTGGTGAGTATGGAACATTCCTTAAAATTTATAAGTGAAACTATTAAATAGGTTTTAGCTTTGTTTTTTTTTATTTTTGAAGAATTTTAACTATAGCATGCTAAGTGAACTATTAAAAGTCAGGATGCTTTAGTGTTATATTCTCACTTATGAAGAATAAGAGTGACACTGTGTTTCTGTTCTTTGAACGTTTAATTAATTATATGCCCTAAAGTCTGTTGCCTATTACCTTATTGATTATATGTGTGATGCAAAGCTGGGAGTAGTGCATGGAATTGAAAAATACCAGGGACGCTGTGGGAGAAAGGTGAGGGTGGGATGATTTGAGAGAATAGCATTGAAACATATATATTATCATATGTGAAATAGATCACCAGTCCAGGTTCGATGCATGAGACAGGGTGCTCAGGGCTAGTGCACTGGGATGACCCCGAGGGATGGGATGGGGAGGGAGGTAGGGTGGGGGGCGCTCAGGGTGGGGGACACATGGCTGATTCATGTGAATGTATGGCAAAAACCACCACAATATTGTAAAGTAATTAGCCTCCAATTAAATGAGTTAAAAAAGCAAATAACAGATTGAGATACTAAATGTCATGTTACAGAGGCTTATGGGATCTTAGTTCCCCAACCAAGGATTGAACCCAGGCTCTTGGCAGTGAAAGTGCCAAGAGTCATAACCACTGGACTGCCAAGGGAATTCCCAGACTGGTATTTTCTTAATTACATTGAACTTATGCATTGTTTTTAAGTGAGTACTTTTTTATTGAGCTGTAATTGACATATTAGTTTCAGGCATACAACATAGTGGTTTGATACTTGTAAGTATTGCAACGTGATACAGACCACCGTAAGTCCAGATGGCATTCATCACCATACACTGAAGACCTCTGCGGCTCAGGTGGGCTTCCCAGGTGGCACCAGTGGTAAAGAATCTGCCTGCCAGTGCAGGAGACGTAAGAGACACAGGTTGATTCCTGGGTTGGGAAAGCCTCCTGGAGGAAGGCATGGCAACCCACTCCAGTTTTCTTGCCTGGAGAATCCCATGGACAGGGGAGCCTGGCCGGCTACAGTCCATGGAATCTCAGAGAGTCGGACACGACTAAAGTGACTTAGCACACATGCCCTGTACAGTCTGGAATGTCCACTTACTTTCCTTCAAAGGGTAGTTAATCTCCTTCTTACTAAGGAAGTGTTTGTTTAGGAAATTTTCACTCCTAAACTTTTCACCTTATTCCTTTACCACTGACAGAAAGCCCATATCCAGGAAGCTGCCATCTTAGACCTCAGGGATACACTGTATGTCACTTGCCAGTTTTGCTCGAGCATTCTCTCTAGTCTAGAATGGTAGTTCTTTAAGAGGGTTCCATGAGTGCCACTTGGGAAATTCGCATTCTCAGGCCCCACTCTGGACTTCATGAATCAGAAAGTTTGGGGTAGGGCCCAGAAATGTGTATTTTAACAAGCCTGCCATGTGATTTGATGCATGTGGAAGTTTGAGAACCACTAGTCTGCAGGAGCATATCTGACTATTTTTCATTCAAGGCACTGTTCATATTGCACTTTTAAGAACTCTTTTCAGATCAGAATTATTTCTTCCCTTCCATTTTCCCGTTTTATATTAAATATACTCCTCTATATTAATACTCGTTTCAGTTTTCTTTTTTAGAGAGAATGTCCCTTCCCTTTATTAGATTGTGTGCTTTTGGAAGACTCTTTATCACTCAGGTAACCAGAGTTGGCACTCAGTAATAATTTGCTAAATTTCTGAATCTAATGTGAATTACAGGGATAATTATAATTGGACCTACTACATTCCAGCATATGTTATCTGTTATTGTAACAACTCTTTAAGAGGCAGTTTTTTTTTTTTTTAACTTCCAATTTATAGGTGAAGAAACTAATAAAGTTCAGAGAAACTTAATGTTCCCTGGATCATACAGTAGCAAGTGAGAAGGCCTTATAAGATTCAAGCCTAAGTCTCTCTAACTCCTAAACCTCGGCTTTTTCCTATAAGCCATTTTTCTCTTAAGAAGTGTCTCTCCTTTGTGAACACTTGTTAGAGAAATTAGGTGATGACATAGTTGCTATAGCTCTAGTTTTAAGGCATTTCTTACTCTAAAGCAGTGGTTCTTGGCTGGGACTAAGTTTCAGAATTTTTTCGAAATCTTAAAAATATGTTATGTCCTGATGGTGTAGGGAGAGTGGAAGTTGTGCAGATACCCTTTTAAATTCGCATGATTCAGATCCATACCATAGATTGACTGATTTATGGAAAAGAACCCATGGATAATTTATATATATATATATATATATATATATATATTCTGTAAAATTTGTATATAATTGAGTTCCCTCATGAGTTCATATTTAGCAGCACTTAGTTGACTAAGCTTGGTTTCTCTGAATTGTTCTCTCACAAATGAAGAGTAACACACTGCATAGTAATTGAGAATAGACCCTGGAATCAGACAAATGTGGTTCATAAACCAACATTGTCACTGACTGTTCATAATACCTAGAGCAGGATGCTTAATATCTGTATGCCTCAGTTTCCTCTTCTGTAAAATATGATTGTAATAGTTCTAACATCATAGGGTTGTTGAAGATTGAGTGGTATATTGGAAGTGAAGTGCTTAGCACAGTGGCTACGTTGGTAAGAACGGTAGAATTCGTGGCATTTTAACTTGGCCTGCTCTCCTCCTCTCCCCTCTTCAGCAGTAGCCTTAAAAACTGGCAACCTTGCAGCCGCTGGAGGAACAAACTGATTTGACTTCCTCAGAAGCATTCTCCAGAATTTTGTCACTTATTTTGCAGCTTCTCAGAAAAGCTTCATTCCAAGGAGTTGTTTATTCGATTTGCCTCAGAGATTGCTCTGTGAGGAGGCTCTGTCCCTAAGACTTTTGTCTGAAATAATTACCTGCAGTTGTTTAACACTGTGCTGCCTGAGGCTGTGATGCCTCTTGGAGCAAACAGGAGCCTGGCCAGAAAGCCTAAAAGAAAGATCTGGGGAATGCAATGTCTGTAGTGGGCTTTGAAATACTTTGGGGATCTGAAGGCCATGCACAAATGCAGGGCTGTGTTTATGTCCAGAAAAGACCTGATAGGGCCTTAATCTCTCACCTGTGCATCTCTGGCTGACCTTGAGGGTCCCGTGCAGGTGAAGACCAAGACAGACATGCAGAGTACTTGAATGTTGAAGGTATGCGTAATCATGAACTGAGCTCCTCAGCAGAGGGTAGAAGCCTTTATTGGGTCAAAGCCCTGAAGGAAACCTCCATATAGTGATCTAGCTGACCACTAAGCTCACTGAACAGAGACATCGCTGATCACATGCTGCTGGGATTACAGGCCTCAGATTTAATTTGGGAAAGTCAGTAAAGAAACAAATAGCTGCAAGAACAGCCGCCAAAAAGCCAGCCATGGCAACAAAGCTAGGGGAGACAGTGGTGATCCTGATTTTCAGAGTTGTCATGTTATATTATTTAAAATGTCTACTTTGCAATAAAAAATTCAAGACTCCCAAGGAACAGGAAAGTATGGCCTATATTCAGGAAGAAAAGCAGTCAGTAGAAGCTGTCCCTGAGGAGTCCCAGCTATTAGACTTACCTAGACAAAGACGTTAAATCAGCTGTTATCAAAGTTGAGAGAGCTGAAGGAAAGTATGTTGGGGATGTTCTTTGGCCTTTGTACATCAGTATATGTGGACTTTGTTACCACTGTGTGTGAGGGTACATTAAAGAAGTAAAGAACATTTTTCCTGTCCTTGAGAAAGCTAATCTTTTGTGTTCTGGAAAGGCTAATGTGGAGGCTGTGATCCAGTAAATCTGTTTTTATACATTTCTCCACAGCTTAAATCTCAGCTTTATGAAAAGATGTGTATACTAGACTCTTTACTCCAGAGTTATTAGTGAGAGCAAAAGATTTGAAAGAAGCAAATGCCCACAGATAGAAGACTGATATTTAGTCATGTAAGGGGATACTTATTACTCCATTAAAAAAACAACAAGACTGTGAAAGGAGTTTTGAAAACAAATATCAGTAGTTTCCTGCTGGTAGGAGGGAAGCTTTTAATGCTATGGTATATTTAGTCCATTTCTTTCTTTGAACATTTAGGTGACTTCCAGTTTTCAGCTATTACAAATAAATACCCGTAAGGTGAACATCCCCAAGAATACTTTTCTGTGTTTGTGTTCTGTAATTTCCTTGTGGTAAATTCCTAGGGAAAGAATTACTTAGTAAAATTTGTTTTATTAACTGTTTGCTCAAATTATTTGCCTGTTTTTCTGATGAGGTATTATTTACTTTTAGCCATTAGGAAAGGCTCTTTAAATGTGCTGTTTGACCAAAAAAACTAACAAAAACGAAAATTAATTTTAAACATTTATTTGAAAGGCTCTTAACCTCTGTTTTACATGGAGCTACATTTTTCTCAAAATAATGTAAAATACTTTATTTACAGTAGATAATTTTCACGAGTTGCTCTCCATTTCTTTGAAATAAAAGCATATTTTGACCTTAATATTGAAAATATCTTTAACTTTTTGAAGTATTTTTTCTTTCATCATTCATGACTATATATTGCAATAACACTTCACATTGCAGTTTGCAGCCATTAGTCATATAATCAGTTTAGCTCTCAGTTACCAGTTAATGTAATTAAAAAGAAAATATAAAACCACCATTTTTTGTATTATTCCATGAAATGCTTGTTTAACTATTTTACAAAGTATATGTATACCAGGTTGTGATGTAAAATGGGACTCATACTGTGAGTCAAAATTTAAAATGTATATTTTTTCTTTTTGGAAAACTGTTGGCTGGAATGTTAAGAATGGAGTTCCTACCTGTGTTTGTTTCCCAGCTTTGTCACTTTGCCACCTTTGTGACCTTCAGTTAGATCTCTAATCTCTTCATACCTTGTCTCCTTAAGGGTGACATAGAAATAATGTTAGTACTTAAGTACTTTGTATGGTTGCTATAGAGATCAAATGAGTTTATCT